TCATGTGCGTATCTTTTATAGCGAGTGTTTTTGTGCACGTTTCTTGATGCGCATTCACGTCCCTGAATCGTAGTACGTATTATCATGATCGCTTTTGTTATCAAATTTTGACCATGTTCGAGTCCGAATTTTGAATTTTGACGTTAGACTGGAATTGTGGCCCACTGAAACAGCTTTCTAATGCCACCACAACCACTCGATTTGGAGTTCGGATGAGAGAGTTATGCTCGACTTCGTGGACACTACCAAAGATGTTGAGGGATTCTCTCTTCTAATTTGATTTTATTTTCTTAATTGCAACTCTTTTCTTACCATTTGATCATTTTTGCTTCCTGGACACCTAATTTTCGATTTGTACCGAAAAGATACAAAATCCACAGATTAAAACAGAAATATAAATTAATCCACACAAAAATCCACGTAAACGTCGAGTATTATTGCTACACTCCATTGTATCTTTTTTATCTAGTGTTTTTGCTATTGTATGTTGATGCGTATTAAAGTCATAGTATTGTAGTTCGTGTTTTTAAGAAGATTGCTTCGGATGCACTTTTGCGCATGTATTTTTACATGTATGTTTTTGTGCATGTCCATTTGAGGGAGCGTGTTTGTGCATGTTTGTTGATTTGTATTACTGTCCTAGGATTGTAGTTTGTGTTTTTATGATCCTTTTTGCAAATGCACTTTTGCTTGAGTACTTTTGTGCATGCTTTTGGACTTTTACTCATGTGAGTATCTTTTCTAGCGAGTGTTTTGGTGCACGATGCGCATTCACGTCCTTGAATTGTAGTACGTATTTTCATGATCGGTTTTGTAATCCAATTTTGACCATGTTCGAGTCTGAATTTGGAATTTTGCCGTTAGACGCGAATTGTAGCCCACTGAAATAGCTTTCTAATGCAACCGGAACCAGTCGATTTGGAGTCCGGAAGAGAGAGTTATGCTCGACTTGGATTCCGGATGAGAGTGTTATGCTCGACTTCGTGGACACTACCAAAGATGTTGAGGGATTCTCTCTTCTAATTTGATTTTATTTTCTTAATTGCAACTCTTTTCTTACCCTTTGATTATTTTTCCTTCATGGACACCTAATTGTCAATTTGTACCTATATGATACCATATCCACCTATTGTTTCAGAAATATAAATTAATCCGAACTGATATCCACGTATACGTAAACGTCGAGTATTATTGCTACACTCCATTGTATCTTTTTTATCTAGTGTTTTTGCTGTTGTCTGTTGACGCGTATTAAAGTCATAGTATTGTAGTTCTTGTTTTTAAGAATGTTGTTGCGGATGCACTTTTGCGCATGTTTTTTTACATGTACGTTTTTGTTCATGTCCATTTGAGGGAGCGTGTTTGTGCATGTTTGTTGATTTGTATTAATGTTCTAGGATTTTAGTTTGTGTTTTCATGATCCTTTTTGCAAATGCACTTTTGCGTGAGTACTTTTGTGCATGCTTTTGAACTATTATTCATGTGCGTATCTTTTCTAGCGAGTGTTTTTGTGCACGTTTCTTGATGCGCATTCACGTCCTTGAAATGTAGTACGTATTTTCATGATCGGTTTTGTTATCCAATTTTGACCATGTTCGAGTCCGAATTTGGAATTTTGATTTTAGACGGGAATTGTAGCCCACTGAAATAGCTTTCTAATGCCACCGGAACCAGTCGATTTGGAGTCCGGATGAGAGAGTTATGCTCGACTTCGTGGACACTACCAAAGATGTTGAGGGATTCTCTCTTTTAATTTGATTTTATTTTCTTAATTGCAACTCTTTTCTTACACTTTGATTATTTTTGCTTCATGACACCTAATTTTCCATTTGTACCT